ATCATCCTTCCACCCCATTAAATCAGGAGTTCCTCAAGGCAGTGTGCGGGTCCTGTTTTATACTTATATACACATATGATTTGCCAAACAATGAAAGGACTACACTGCAAACGTTTGCGGACGACACAGCAATTTTGGCTGTGCATGAAGACCCATTTCAAGCATACACAAAATCTCCAAGAGCATCTGAACCAACTTGAACAATGGTACAAAGATGGCGTATTCAAGTAAATGCCTCCAAATCTAAAAATATCAATTTACCCTATCCAAAAAGGAGTGTCCTAAAGTACAGCTAAACAATGTATACCTAGCACAACTATCTTGCATTAAATATCTAGGATTTCATATGGGACAAACGGCTAACATGGAGGAACCATATAACTGCAAAAGAAGAAAGAAGCACAAATCAGATTCTCCCATATTATCATGGCCTCTATCAACGCCACTCAAACCTTTCTTTAGAAACAAAGTACTCCTCTACAAATCAATAATCAGGCCTATCTGGAGCTACGCGAAATTCTACTCTGGGTATCCGCTAGCAAGTCATAACCATTGAAATTACTCAGAAGATTCGAATCAAAATGCATTAGAAGACTAGCCAATCACCGTGGTACGTAACGAATGAAACACTACGTCGAGACCTCAAGATACCCATAATATATGAAGAATCACTCACATAGCACCACCTACCAAGAGCGGTAAAACAAACATCCAAATCCATCAGCCATCAATCTATTGGATAATAGCGAGAAGTACACCGACTGAAAAGATACCGATATTCTGGAATTACCATTCCGCTTCAAACAACCACATGACGATGTTACTCTAGCTTCATTTAATGCATTAATTAACAACATTTACTGAATGTTTGTTAAGAAAACAGATTGTAAATAAACAGAATAATAATTAAAAAAAAAAAAAGTTTAGGGTAAAACTTAAGTATTATCCTCAGGACCATACATCGGAGATGCTACATCACATACTTTCGCACATGTTTTCCAAATTTGCCATTTTCGAAAAATTAAAGAGTTTAACGAAAATGAGACCCGCGCCATTCTTTTAAACCCCTTTTCCCTTCTTATTTTCGAAGAAAACATTTAAAAAAGAAAATTGGAGTGGTTTTTGAGAATTTTTTGTTAACTTGCATTAATTTGAAGCCCCAATTACTCAAACATTACTAGTTTTTTTTCAAAAACTGTACATAACATTTTTAAAGAAGCTGTTTTCTATGCATACAAGTTCGCCGAAAATGAGTCTAGCCCCACATTTTGTACATCCTTGATACATACGAGAAGGATATGAAAAAACCTGGTGTCGTTTTAGAGAAATAAATTGTTTAAAAAGAATTTCATTGTCTATATTTCGCGCAAAATTACGCAAAATCTACTATTTTCGAAAAAATTCACATGACCTTATTTCACTGTCTCTAAGGCACATATTTCATGAAGGAAAGTATCTCTTAATTCAATGTTATTGTTGTAGGAAAACCCACCCAAAAAACTGCATGTTTGAAATTTTCGAAAAATATGGAATTTCATGAGATCTGCATCGTTCTCTTCAGTGTTTTTTTCGCTATCTGAGGACAAAATAATAATAAAAAAACGGGGTGCTATTTTTGAGAAAACTTTGAAATTGTTTTTGAGGCATTATGTAAAATATTTCCCAAAATCAAAATATCTCGAAACTTCTAAATCCCCGAGTTCTTTCAGATTGATTGGGGAGTATCAACTTTGGAGAAAATCGGCTGAAAGGTTTAGGCGCTAGCGTTGTCTGCTGTCGGACGGACGGACGGACGGACGGACAGATGGTCGGTCGGACGGTCGGTCGGTCGGACGGACGGTCGGACGGACGGACGGACGGACAGACGTACGTACAGACGTACGTAGTAAATGCGGAATAGAATAAAATTACAAACAATACATTCTTCATGATGAATGGCTTTAAAAACGCTCACATATAGGTTACTGTTGATTTTAAAACTTATATCGGAGGAACATCTTTGTAGCTAGTATCTTCTATTTTAATGGAAAGAACATTGTCTTCTTTCACAACTAGAAAAAATTCGCCGTTTTCCGGCACACGATTACATATATAACTTGTCTTTTTACGGAGTACGTTCGTAAGGGCAAGAAAATAAAAAGGTATACAAGTTTATGCATTACGTTTGTGTACTCAAACTATTCAAAATTGGCTATGAAATCCTCTTCCAACTTTTCCTATTTGTGCATAATTTCCTGCTTTCGTTCTTCAGGATTTCTTAAATGTTCGAATTGCTCAATACCACGGTTCATTTTAAAACATCATGAGATAGTTATCATTTGTAAGTTTTGATAGTTTGCGAGACACGTGAATCGATTCTCCATTTCGAAGAGAGAAAATGTCTTCCTTAATCGCGAACTTTTGACCATAAACTGTTTACATTCACGAATTCAAAATACATTTTTTTAATATCCTTTGAACTTCTCACAATTTATCAAATCCTATCACTTAGCTTTTTCTTGAAATTTAAACATTGAACTATTAATACATTGCATCTAAGAACACAATAGAAACAGCATATTTCACAGTTATAAAATGATTCCATTTAATATTCTTGAAATATAGTCATTAGAATCGAGGACAACTATTTTCGTACAATACAATTCGTACAACCAAATATTTATGTTGTTTTTTTCAATATCTCTCGTCTGAACTATGTACTACAATGAATCTCTGAATCTTGGGCTTCGATGGCCCCATGTTTGTATAATTTGATGCTGGAATTCAGGTCAGTGCTTGGTCTTGGTTTAGTAAGAGAGAAAGCGAACGAAAAGTTTCGTGTTACGGTGTAATTTGAGTTGTGGTGATCTGAAACATTTAGGAATTGGGGATAATGACGATCAAAATATCGATGAATTCGAGTTACTTAAAATCAAAGTATTGAGAAATTTGAATATTTGAAATTTTAGTTTCAGTTTGAAGAATTTAGATTTAAGAGATTCGAGATACCGAATAACTCGTGTTATTAAAGTTTGAGATCCCTAAGAATTCAAGTTTATTGATAGTCGACGCATCCAGAAATTAGAGTTATTAACACATCGAGATTCAATATACCGAAATATTTCAGTTATTGCGATCGCAGTTCCGAGGAGTTCAAGATAACATATAAAAATTCGATTCAACGAGGTTTCATAACCGGAAGAATACGGGTTATTACGTCCAAGTTTCCTCTGTACTTGTGAGATGGATGACTGACGACCGATGTATGCTGGAGTGTCGCAGCTCGTGGGACCATGAGAGATGCCCTTGGAAACTCTAGCAGTGCAACCTGCAGCTGTTGTGCAGCATGTTTACGGAAGGTGAAGGCAAATGGAAACAAAGATATGGAATAATTCGAATTTTTATGATTAGAGGAACCAAGAAATTTGAGTTATTAGATACTGAAATAATTATAGACGTCATTGCCAACAATAGTATTTAATATAAGAGGAGCTTTCGATGGCTTAGCCATCATCATCAGTTGTCTGTTGGATGGAAGCCAGAAAACGACTACCCGGATAGTCGTTTTGTGTCTTCCATCCTGCAGACAACTGATGATGATGGCTAAGCCATCGAAAGCTGCTCTTATATTAAATACTATTGTTGGCAATGACAACGTCTATAATTATTTCATGAAAAATGCCAACGATAACGCACCACAACACCTATATTACTAGATACTATCAAGATATCGATGAATACAAGTTGAGTTGCGAAATTTCGATAAATTTGAGTAGATAAAGATTAAATAGGCTAACGTAGATATTCTAATTTATGATATTGGAGATAACCAATTAATTCAGAGATTGAGTTTCGAGCAGGGCCGGATTTAAGTAGTCCGGGGCCCCAAGAACAAAATTTTGTTGCTCCCCCCCGAAAAATAGCTCCATCTATATTAAATAAAAAATGTATTATAGTACAAGTACTTTCTGTACAGATACAAATGAAAACTGATAATTTTTATAGAAATTTTTACTTGTGTTACATTTTTTTACATTAAATACATTTTACATATTTTTTTCTGCTCTTCACTGCAGAAAATTAGTCGATGATGTCTTCAAAACGAAGATTTCTCAGCTTATTATGCTCCATACTCATTTTTAAAAAATGTTTTGAAATTGTACATTTTGTTACACAGTAGACTACTTGATTAACAATTATTTCAGACAAAAAAATATAGTATGCGTATTTTTCCGAAACGCGGGGCCCCTGATGAATGGGGGCCCCCAAGCAACTGATTGTTTTGCTTGTAGGTAATACCGGCCCTGGTTTCGAGGTAACGAATTCTAGGAATTTAGGTTCTAGATATTAAGAGATTCGAGTTATTGGTTTGACTGGAAGGCCCTTGATTCTAGTCCCGTCGGTAGCAATATTCTTGACACTAGGTAGATAGGTCGAATTCTGTCGCTGCCTGGAAGAGAATAGCGGCCGACTATTCCGATCGATAGTTTTCCATGGTTTCTCCTACCTACACCACTTGAATGTTGGAGCAGTACCCTAACAAACGGGCCACGGACCGCGGGCCATCTTTCCTTCTTCATTCCTGTTCTATTCTCACCTCTTATTTACACACACACTTACAGGCACTACACTACTACAAATGCCGGGAGACCAGTCGGGAGCTTAGAGCTTGTCGCGGCCGGGGCGGTGTCCCGCTCATGGGAGTCCGGTGGTGATACCTGATTAGGGAACCTCCGTTATTCCGGATTTCACTATTCAGCGTGGCCAGATTCCCCTCCCGAAGAAACACATGCAGTGAACCTACGGGACTAATGACCTTAACCATTGTCGCGCCGAGGAACATTAATCCATCAATCAATCAATTCAATCAGTCGAGTTATTGGGATTTTTATTGGGCTGAATTCGAGTTTTTGGAATTCGTCTTCCCGAGGAATTCGAGTAAAAGAACTTGGAGGCGTAGCAGAACGAGTAACTGACGTGGTTGCAAGGGCGGATGGGTGAGGTGCGCGGGTGTGCCGCAGCCGCCGGGGACGAGGAGGAGCTGCGCTCGCTGGCGGTGGCGGTGCACGGGCTGTGCAACCCGCAGCTGTTCGTGTACGCGCTGTCGGTGGCGCTGCTGCACCGGCCCGACATGCGCGACCTGGCGCTGCCTTCCTTCGTCTCCACCATGCCCGGCCGCTTCCTCGCCAGCGACGCCATCAGGAGGGCGTACCTGGAGGCCAACCTCACCGACAGCCAGCGGGTGAGTGGCTCGCACCGTTCACAGTCCAAAACTGACGGGCAGTGATGGACAAACAGTTTTACTTTCTCGCTACGCAGTAGAGAGGAAGTTATGGAATGCGCGTGTGTGCTCCTTTTAGTACCTCTTTGAATTGAATAGAATTGAATTGAATTAATGCCTTATTTTACGTGGCGAGACTCGGGCCATCTGGCCAGCGCTTCCGTCTGACCTCTTTGTAATTAAAGTACGTGCTGTTTCAACACCTCTGGTTTTAAACGCTACTTGCTGTCTAGGAGACGCCGCTTCCTAATCAACATTTCATGGCACAGGCAACGTTTACGCATTTCGCCTTGAAGGTCGCAGAATGGTGGCCGAAACGTTGGCACCTGTGTCTAGGACGCGATGTCTCCCGGACAGCCAAGGAGCTATGGATTCCGGCCATGGAAGCCTTTGCTCTCAACCTTTTTTAATTGTTTTTTGACAAATTGTTTAGTTTACAAGAAAATGATTGATGAGTTAGTCTAATTTACAATAGTACTCAACTAATTTTAACATTAGGCGAAGAAACAAAAAGCGCCTCAGAAGATTTTTTCGATATTTGAAAATATTTGGAGAAAGGAATGGAGGGGGAATCTGTTCTTAATTCTGGTTTTGTATGTGGGAGTTTTTCCGAGTATGTAGTGAGCTGATGCCTTGATTAATGATAAATCTGTGTAAAAAGTATTTGTTGGTAAGTACTTTTAAAGTAAAGTTTATATGAATACTATTTGGTGTGCTATTATATTTATGTTTAGATGGTGATGTAGAAGGGAGTAACATCTCAAGTAATCCCTAAACTTGACGAATCAATGGCCTCACTTAAACATGTAATATAAGATTTCAAATTGTTTTTGAAAATAAAATTAAAACTTTTGTTTAAATCAGTACTATTATAATAACAAAAACATTGCATACATTCAGACACGTTCATAGTGCATTTATGCACTAATTCACTTTTGACGGAATGGTTCTACCTTATTAAGCTTGTGAGCCAAATTTTTATATCATTTCGTTTATATTTGTTTTTAGAAAGACCTCAGTAAAACTCGTTACTTTTAGAGCATGCCAAACGTGCAAAAAGTACAATTTTAGCAAACTAGTGCTAAAAGTGAGACAATGCTCAAATATTCAGATAAAACTGTGAGTGCCATAAAGAAAACAAACTTTCGCGTGAACGCTTCAGTTAATACTGACATAGTTTTAACAGTAATTTGTATTCTAGAACTAAAATAAATTAAGTCAGTAAGGCTGTTCTAAATATAGTGTATGCGGCACGTAGTAAAAGTGATATTATTTTGTTCATAAGATTATGCTACTCGCTCTCTCGACCTCGTGTCACAACTTTTTATACTCGCAAAATATAGTGCCAGTTTTACCACTTGTATCATAGATAGATATATAAATAGATAAACAGATTGATATATTTCATTTACTGAGGGTGTAACGCCCGGTGGTATATTTCTAAGAAGTATTACAATATCAAATAAATAAAGATATTGTCTGGTATCAATACTGTCAATACTGTATTGATACCAAACAATATATTTATTTATCACAATAAAAAGGTATCTACCTCACCAGCGATCCAATTAAAAAGTATTACAATGTATATAAATGTCACATTAAATAATTTTTTTTCTGGCGAAATTTCGGAATTTTCTGGCGCTCGATTACAGAACTTTCTCTTCTTACGAAGAATTCGAAAGGCAAGAAAGTAAAAGGTACAACGGTCATATAAAAAAAATCTGTTTTCGACGATCGTACAAAAATTAGTGATTTTACTACGCGTGCGTTAAGAGAGAGCTTCATAAGAAAAGGAAAAAAAGTGACTGCATCGTGCATCGGTCATTGGTGGCAGGAAGTGGTGCTGATCCCGCGCAACTGGACGGCGAACGACGAGGAGCCCGAGCATCGCCTGGCCTACTGGAGGGAAGACGTGGGCATCAACGTGCATCACTGGCACTGGCATCTCGTCTACCCGTCGCAGGCTCCGCGCGCCATTGTGCAGAAGGACCGACGCGGAGAGATGTTCTACTACATGCACCAGCAGATCATCGCCAGGTGAGGCGGATATTGCATGCGGTTCTACCAAATGCGTCAGCAGGTCAACACCGCATGAATACAATGTATTTAATTGGCTGTCCGGGTGACGTCGCGTCAATGGCAAAGATGCCGACGTTTGGTTGCCATTCTGTGACCTTCCTCAGGGCGTAATGCCCCTGAAACGTCGCCAGCTTTGCCATGGACGTGGTGTCACTCGGATAGCCAATTAAATACTGACTCCGGCCGCGGAAGCCTACGCTCTCAGGTTACAATATGTTCTACGAATTAACCAGGAGGTCTTTGCTAGGTGACTCAGATGTTGTGGTTCGAGTTGATGTACTATATTCACGAGCAGGTTATTGCCAAGTGAGGTAGATGTTGTGGTTGAAGTTCTATTGCATGCACGAAGAGATCAATGTCGGGTGAGAAAGATGTAGTGGTTGGAGTTCTTCTACTAATTAACCTGCAGTACATTGCTGGGTAAGATTGACTTTAAGTCCGTTTTTGTGAGATTTTGTGGTTCTTATAAATAGCCGCGACAATTTTAAAAAATAAAAAAAGTGTTATTAACGTGCAAATAATCATAAGGTTCTATAAGTGAAGCATTTTTAATAACATGAAGGTATGGAAAGTGTTTAAACTTCACTTACAATTCCCATATCCAAACGGTAGCAAGTGCCGGTTCAATACCTCAAAAACAGGTCACGGCCCGCAACCCGTGTCCCTCCATTCCCTGACATGCACACTTACACTTAACATGCACGTACTACAGCACATGACGCGAAACCAGTCGAGAGCTTAGAACTTGTCCCGGCGTGGACGTGGACTCATAACCTAATTAATCCTGATGAAGTAATTAACTTATTTAGTATATTTAACATCCAATTAAAAGGATTGATTATTAAAATAAGTAATTTTAATTACCTTTATTATTATTATTATTATTATTATTATTATTATTATTATTATTATTATTATTATTATTATATTTACTTTAATTTTAGCAACAATCCTAATATTATTATCAATAATCCTATCAAAGAACTATATCAGATCGAGAAAAAACCTCACCAAATGAATGCGGATTTGATCCAAAAATATCCGCACGCTTACCATATTGCTTAAGATTTTTCTTAATTGCAGTTATTTTTTTAATTTTTGATGTAGAAATCACTTTAATTATACCCGCAGTAATTATTCAACTCTCGTCAAATCCATTACAATGATTATTCACATTAATATTCTTTATTATCATTTTATTTCTAGGATTATATCACGAATGAAATCATGGTATCCTACAATGAGCTGAATAGGGATTATAGTTAAATATAACCTTTGGGTTGCATTCAAAAAGTATTGATTATTCAATTAATCTCCATTAAGAAGCAATAGTACATAATGAAAATGAAATAATGAAAATATATACCGTTTTATTATATACTATATAAATTAGAAATAACGGAATTTAACCGCTAAATAGAAAAGTTAGCTGCTTACTTTTGTACAACTTAAATGGAATTACTAATTCAATGATGTTATTAACAACAATATACCTCTTTTTTGGTTTCAATTAACCATATAATTACCTAAAGATTAAATATCTCCATAACATCTTCAATGTTATACTCTACCACGGGCGGTGTTACCCTGGCGGAGATACTAAGAGGGCGAAACCCCACAATCAATCTGGTAGATCGACGCCGTATCTTACGTCTCATCGTGAATGGAACGTCTTCTCCTCGCGGGATATATAACGCACTCCATTTTCAAGGCTATTGAACGGAGCAATTGAGGCGCCCGGAAACACAAACAGGGCTCAAGACAACGAGTGGTGTCAGTGCAGTGCTCTGGCTGGAAGGCCCTAGGTTTGAGTCCCGACTTTGGTAAGATGTTCGACACTAGCTTGTCAGCTACGTCGAATTCAGTCGCTGTCTGGAAGAGAATTCTAGAGGCCGGCTGCCTTGATCGGTGGTTTTCCGAGGTTTCTCCGATCAATACTAGGCCAATGCTGGAGCAGTGACCTGACAAACAGGCCACCGACCGCACGCGATCTTTCCTCCCTCTTCCTTGTCCTATCCTCACCCATTACACACATCTACACTAACATGAACTAACACTTAGGAGATAAATCGGGAGGAGTAGATCTTGTCCCGCTGGTGGTTGATACTTGATTGGCGAAACCCTGCAAGCCGACGTGGAGGTCGGCGCCGGATGTCTCCATCCAGCGCGAGAAGATCACTATCACATACCACATCAGTACACTTATTTGACTAATGACCTTAGCAATTGGCGCCATCGGAATCATGAAAAAAAATCAATCAATAGGAAACACAAAACAGTCAGTAAGTTAAAGCAGTGAAATAGGCATTTGCCTAAGAATCCGAAATGCGTTGATGAGCGATGCCTGTGTGCTCCCTTGCAGGTACAACTTTGAGCGGTTCTCCGTGGGCCTGGGTCGCGTGAGGCGGCTGAGCAGCTTCCGAGAGCCGCTCCGGGAGGGCTACTACGCCAAGCTCACCCCCAACGTCGCGCGGGACTTGGGATACGCCGGGCGCCCTGACAACGCTACTATCAGCGTAAGTTCCTTTACGCGGAAGGCGACGACAAGCATTTTGGCAATTTATTTAATATCAAAAAAGAACTGAAAATTAAGTGTGACTTATTGGAAAAAAGTACAATCTGTACACGTTTTCTAGATCTCAAGAAACTCTATTCAAGACCTTTTATTTAATAAGTTGAATAATTATGAGTAAAGGTAGCAACGAGCGTTTTTGGCAACATTTTGTTATCAATAATCATTCGTTCCAGTGTAATAAAAAAAACTATTTGTATCGGAAAATGAACTAAAGCTTTTGGATACCATTCATTATTGTGCCCATACGTGAAAGAATCAACTCCTTACCGCCAGAATATAGAAAAGCATATTTTCATGGTACTGTTCACGAAATAACGCATTATACTCCAACGTCCCCAATGCTAAAAAACGTTCACAGATTATAGATTCAAGTATTTCCAACATTTTTGATACGAGTTTACACATCTTTCACATCGGTGAGTAGGTTTAACCTTAAAGAGTTAGATAATTTGTCTCTGAAGGTCTTTTATTTAGGAGATCTTGGTTTTTGATTCAGCAGACCAGACTGGAAATGCATGTCTATTGGTACAAGCAAGTATTGGGCATATTGTTAATTGAAAAGGAATAGCTACATCCGGTTTGGAGGGGGCGATTTCTTGAACATGGAAATATGGTTAATTTATGATGAGAGGTAAGATCTAGGCCATGCAAAGCTATTTGTATGAATGCTAGTGAAGAATACTACTATTTAGCAGTGATATTTGAGAGAAAGTATGTGTTGTGACGGTAAGAAAACTCACTTCTCAGGTTGAGAAGACCTGAACACGGCGTGGCGGAAGGTATGTCTTCGTGCTAACCACATTTTTTCCGTAACTGATGGCCGCGACACAGGGACGCTGCTGGTAGACCCTGGCCCATTCACGGGCGGTCGCGCCATGTACAGACAGAGATTTGAGGAAAACCATTCAATATTTTTATCTCAAGATAAAGTGGTACGCGTACTTGATCTTGTGAGAACCGTTTCGTTTTGGTAAGGGAAGATGTTTCGTGTTTTACTCTCCTCCATTTAAGATGATTCATTAGCATATTCGTCTCTCTTTCGTCTGCTCTACAAACCAGGTTATACTGTATAGTCTCCCGTGATCTCTATTCTTGGCGACTTCATTCGAGTAATATTATCTCTTTCAGTAACTTCTGAACCTCCTCAATAATTTCAAAACATGGACATATTATTTTCCCCTTTATCACACATCGTATTCTTTCTCTCAGTGTGTCTGGGCAGTGTTCGTATATTCTCTTATTGTGACATTATTGTTTATAACGTTTTAACATTATATTTATATAACATTATTTATAACACCTTATAAGATGGTAACAGGGTTTGTGAAATCCGAGCAAGGTTTAAATGAGAGAATAACAACGTTTTTTTTGTTTCAGAACGTCAGTAGGGAACTAGAAAGAGTCTTTTTGGACATCAGTGATCTGGAACGATGGGAAACTCGCATTTTTGATGCGATTCACTCTGGAGAATACATAAATGTAAGTAAACATATTATTAATATGGAGAAGATCTTATGTTATAATATAGCCATTCATTTCACGTTGCCCGTTTTTTATCCATAAGGCTTCTTACCTTTTTCTTCAACATTGTCTCTATGTTGGATTTTTAATGGACCTGGAGAGCTCATATGTGGCTCAAACCAGGGAAGGTTGATTCGAATATAAAATGTGAACTTAGGAATGTTTTAAAAAATCCTAGATTTTTTCCTCTTTAGCCATACAGAAACATGGAAATGTTCAAACATGATAGAGAAGGCATTCAATATATTATTAGTTGTAATGAACAATGAAATATTTGAATTGTATTTTCATTTCAATATCAGAGATTTAACAGTCATAATAAACCACTTCCACACACATATCCAATGAATAACATAAAACTTAAATAAAGTTCTATAAATAAGGTTTCATATGTTATATTACGTTTAATTACAGCTTTTGAAGTTCAATAATTGAATTAATTACTTGTGTGTTGTAGGCTAGAGGGGAACGAACATCATTGACTGAAGAAACTGGCATTGACATATTGGGTGACATCGTGGAAGCAAGCGTTCTGACTCCCAATCCAAATATCTATGGAGATCTCCACAATATGTTGCATTTCTTCATTGGAACCTGCCACGATCCCACTGGGAAACATCAGGTGAACTCAATTTTAAGTTTATTGATGAATTATTTATATTCTAATTAGTTTAATAATTGTTATTGTTTTAGCAGAATTTTTATTTATTTCATTAGCTGGTTTCGACGGCTTAGCCCCCAAAACTACATCTGGTACAAAGATTAAAAAACATTAAATATAAAGCAAAATAATAAATAAAAATGTTACTTTAGTACAATTAATTGGGAAAAGTTATATTGACGACAAATAATTTGAATTTTAAAATAATGTGAAAGGCAGATGAATGCGGATACGAAACGTGGAATTTAGGTGGCTTAGCATGCCTCGGACCGGGAGATCATGGGGTTAGATTCTCAAGGGTGTAGGATTTTTGATTCTAGCTACATAGCTAGATGAAATTCAGCCGCTATCTGGAGGAGAATTGTAGCTTTTCTGATCGGTAATTTTCTATGGATTCTCCGATCAACACTAGGCGAATGACGGAGCAGTACCCTGACACCTCTTACTTACTCTCACACTTACATGTACTACACTGCCGGGAGCTTGTATCGGGAGCTTAGTGCTTGGCCAAGCGGGGGCGGCCAGGCGGGGTAGGTTGGCGCCGGATCTCCCCGTACAGCCGGGGAAGATCACCGGTATATGGCGAGAAAAAACATACACACTTACGGAACTAATGACAATACCACTTGACGCCCCCAGAGACCCGATATAAGCAATCAATAATGAATATGAATGATGCGGGAGAGGACTCCAAGAGACGGACTACACTTAGACCTACCCGACAGGAATTGGAACAATGCTTCTAAATTTAATGTGTTTAATGTCTCTTAATCGATCCATGAGCGTGTTGAGTGTGTCATTCTCACAAATAAAACCTACTTTTTGTTTTCTTCTTTTGGGTGATATTCCTTTTAATATGAGACGCATTATTTCATTCTGTATTGTTGTGAAATTTGTTTTTCATCATTCGTGAACATTCGCGAACGCGATGAAAACAATTGGAATGGGATCTTATTTTGCAAATTTCGGCTGGGTCGTCAGAAGCGCCAAAGGACTCCTCTTATTAAATCGAATACAAAAAACATGTAAAATGTAAATTGTATAAAAACAGTATAATATCTAAAGTCTTTCTTTGTCTATGTTGAATGCTCATGCGGATTTACCTTCGCTGTGTCGTTATTCAGAGAACGCATGACATCACGAATGGATTACGTTTCGTCCAGAACTGATGTCTCCATTTCCTTTCCAGGAGCAAATTCAGGCCGTAACTGAACCGGCGACGGCCATGCGGGATCCTGTGTTCTATTTGATGCATGCCTACATCGATGACATCTTCCGGGAGTACAAGAATACTTTGCAACCCTACTCAGAGGCGCAGTTGGGTCTGCCAGGTATAAAAATATCTATGTACTAATGTTTTTAAAAAAAATTATTGCACCCGAATAAATCACTTTACAGCTTTGAAATAGGAAACAATATTAAAATAAGCTATATATTTTGAATTCTAAAGAACCGAGGTACATGCAATTAAATAAACTCAACTCAATTTTATATGTGAGAAGAAATTCCCTCTGGGAAACTCATTTATATGGATTTTACGCTCAGGGCAGGGGTGTGATGGAAGTGGAAACGGGAGAGTGAGCTTATAATTACGTGAAAAATGGTTACGGAGGTCAAACTTGATCATCGGGAAGGCGTGATTAGATTCTAGTAGAACAATTACTGGATTTTCCAAGATTGTAGAGTCTGGCACCGGGGCCAGGTTTAGGTATGTAAGTATGTCTCTCTCCAAATCACATTAAGTTGATTATACGAGTATCTAGCCTTATTCCTGGAGCTAGGCAACCAATGGAAAATATTAGCGTGATTTTGTCTTACCTTGTAACTTAAATTTATTCTAATTTACAATATAAACATTTTGCCTAATTCTGATAGCTGAGACATCTATGTTACGTAGCACCAATGCGCCACAGTACATAGACACTAGTGTGGGTTACACTCCTGTGAATGGAGTGTGTTTATGTATATTCTGAGAAAAGCCACACAGCGTAAATCTAATAGAATCCAAGTAGATCGTCGGTTAGCCAGGGTAATGATAGGGAAGAGGTTCCACTAAAAATCAAAATCTTTGAATAGTTTTTTGGTTTTTCTTTCAAAATTTCTGGTATTACTTAATTTTTGACTTAATTTTTATGATTATTTCAAATTTCAATCCCAAGGCAATTATTAATTTAAATTAATCATCTCGATGTAGCAGATTAAAGTTCTCTGACTTTTTTCTGTTAATACGTTTAATCATTTTCATTATCAAACACACCAATTCGTCGAGTATCTGATAATGGATTCACTGTAATTAAATCCAGTTTAAGCGGCTACGGGCAGAGATACATTCCATTTGCTGCATAAAAATTACTTTTAATTTTCTTCGAAACGACGACAAGCTCATAAAATTCATTCATTAATTAAATTCATTTGTTCATTTCATCTTCATGTAAATATTCATTTACTAGGGCGTAACACGTCGAAAATAATGATACACAATCAGCTTCCATTTTAATAATCACTTACAATGGATAGTATGACACAATTTATCTTTAACATTAAATTTAAGTTTCTTTATTTCAAACGTTTCTTTGCAATCAATAATAGATTTTCAAAAGATAGTTTTTTAGGACACCACGAAGTAATTTTAGGAAGACCCTGAATGGACCATCAGGTGATACATTGGGTCATTTCCAATTGTTGTATCACGAAGGAATCGAAATTAGTTACTATGATATTTGTTATAGTAGTTTCATCACATTGCGTTCCTCAAATCCAGCTGTATGTATATCACAAATTGGATTCCCTGTTTCCAGAAACCACATATACGTGCGTGCAGCACACCTGTAGGGGAATCTTCACTTCTCTGCCACGAAAGAAGAGAGCTCACCTTATCTCTTAAGAATTATCCTCCTCTGATTATTGTATTTTTATTTTATCACTGTGCTCTGTACGAGTAGTAGACAGAAGTTTTGAACCGTGTGCTTGATGTGTACGCAGGCCTGATCTTATGGTAGTGGACTTATTTGTACCCACCTGTTCTGTAGAAGTCGCCTCCTTTAACCTCTGCCTCGAGTGCAGATCGGGGCTGCATAATCCGGCATTGCCGGGACATTTCTTTAGCACAATTATCTATTTGATAGATGGCCTACATGGTGTTGTTTGAGTTTTGCATAAATACGCTTTATACCTATTCCAATAACCGCACTTTTTCGCGTGTTTAGGTTAAAAAACAAACATGAAGTAAAATCAAATTCACTTGTCCAATTTTTATCTATTTGTGACGTACCTGGGAAGCGGTACTTTCACGACAAATAAATTATGCAAGGGACAGGTACATTTTCGTGAATGGGTCTCCAGGAATTTGGCGCAGCATAGGAAGATAATCGTTATAAATTCTTTTGCACATCTAAATATTTTAATGATCAGAGAACACACTTTACAAATAGTATTTACAAATCGCAATGCGCAGGTCTTGGAAACAAGCGCACGGTCAACGCTACCTTGATGTTTTAAAAACCACCTGCTTCCTCTGGAGGCGACCGGGGCCGTCGTGGCAACGGCGGCGGTGTCTTCGGCAATCTTCGGTTCACCCCGAAGTCGGCCGGAAATTCGCCCTCCCTCGGCGACCAACTCCTCTGGCCCAACGTAATGGCCGATGAATTCGCCGGGATCCACCCCAGCCGGTGTGAACAATGTCTCACGGGTATTGGAACGCACGACGCGTGATAGATGGTCGTCGGCTGTTCTAGTCTTTTCAGCAACCTTTCTCAACTTCGCGCAAATGTCCGTAAGCACTGCCCACTGTTATATTATACCAGGGCGGGATTATGACACTTGCCCACCGGCCACACGATTTTTCCTGTCTTATTGGTTTTTATCCAGTTCTGACCGCAGTTCTACTTCACTAATCATCTGACTGTTAAACCCTTATACAAACCTGGTTCCTCATTCAGCGGCCACACTCAGTCCGAACTGCACTTAAACAACGACAATAAATCTCTTGGACGCAGCACTGCCTCGACCGGCTTCACTCGAAGGGTAACCGGTCGCTCGCCTCCGCCGTTCCCCCCCCCCCCCCCGATTTGACCGTTTGGTGGCGGCGGCGGCGTTACTGCGCTTGATCAAACTCCAGTAACTTTATTTTTAATTTATAATTGGATGATCATTTGTAATTGCTTCTAATTACAGAAGAAAACGTATTTATATATATTGTGACGTACCTGGGGGAAACGTTACTCTCACGGACCAATTTAAAATGCATATAAAGGACGGGTACCATTCTCGTGTATGGGTTCCAAGGGGTTTGACGCCTGCATTAGAAAAGATATGATCGAGGAACTCTTATTGTGCAATTTAAAAGTTTAATATTGGAAACACTATGTACAAAAATTCTTTACAATACGCAGTGCGCAAGACCTTTAGTGATTCGTGCACAAGTAAACCGTACCTTGAGGCTTCGAATGACTTTACCGGCTGGCTGGCAGGCGTGCGGGGCCGCCGTGGCAACCGGCCCGGCCGGCGTGTTCCCGGCCCAAACTTCCGGTCCCGCCCCGAAGTTGTCGGGAAATCGCCTCTCCCGGCGGCGGTCGACTCCGCCAAGCTCCCCAACGCAATGGCAACGAGCTCGCGGGGTCCACCCCCCAGCCAGTACAAGCAATATCACATATACTAACATGCACAACGCCACAATTGGCGTCCCTGTCGGCAGTTCGATCTCAGCAGTCTTCTCAATCCCACTCGAATGTGGGCGCACGTGACGGCCCGCTGCTGCATCACACCCGGGCGGAAATGGAACGCGGTCTGTCGGCCACTCAAAAACTCCAGTATTAATGTTTTTCCACTGACCCGGGTCCTGTCGCACTTCCCCTTCTCCGAATCACCTGATTATCAATTTTATCACCTCTAATTCTCCCACTTAATGGCTACAATCAATTCCCAAAACTGTTAGGTAATATCACTATTAAACGTTGCCTTGAAGCAGCACAAGCCCGTCCCGTTGTTGCCACCTTCGGCGACCTCTACTGCGCACACTGCCTAACCGTCGCTTGCCTCGCCCGTCTACCCACGATTTGACCGTTGGTGGCAGCGGCGGCGCGGCGGCGGCGTTACTCGCTGATCAATTTAGTGCTTTTTTACTTAGGAATTAGTAATCAACTTTTTTATAGTTTATATGCAGGGAAACGTTCTTTCGTTTCAATATATATATATATATATATATATATATATATATATTCGCCCCCAATTGTAATTCATGTAAGTGTAAATGTGTGCGAGATGTTTTGTCTTCATGAATCCCCTGACATGTATTGTATATCATATATATGATAAACGTGATATACGATACATGTGTATAAATTGCTTGCATACTTTCTTACGCGAGGAATGCCCGCCTTGCAGGGGTGGCGCTGACGGCGATGTCGGTGCAGACGTCGACGGTGCCCGGCGAGCAGGCGCCCCCTGCCCCGGGCGTGCTGCGCACCTTCCTGCAGGAAAGCGACATCGAGCTGTCGCGCGGCCTGGACTTCGCGCCCCGCGGCCCCACCCTGGTGCGCGTGCAGCACCTGCAGAACGCGCCCTTCGACTACACCTTCAGCGTAAGTGCGCCTCGTCCCCCCCCTGCCGTTGCCTACGCGAATCTGGCGCTGCGAGGAAACTCGTGGTTTTGTTTTGAACTGATGTGTGATATCGGCGCGTGGTACGGGACTTGATACTTACTGCGTAATTTTCCTGAATGAAGAGGACAATGATCACGAGGGGAAAGCGTTCGGACGTTTAATGACTGTAATATTGTGTTTCGTAGGAAAATTCAACGAAGTATTTACATGAAATGAGCTGCATATGTCTTAAGATACGAGTAAACTTTATTTCTTGTTGATTGATTAATTAGTGACTCCGGGCACGTCAACTGCTAAGGTTATTAGTCTGGTAAGTGTAGTACATGTTTTAACGCGGGAATTGCGGTAATCTTTCCCTACTTGTAGATTCATTGATCCTGTGCCGACCTAAACGTCGACTTGCGGGTGGGTTCCCCTACCAGGTATCTCCAACGAGCAGGGAACAGGCCCAAACAAGCTCTAAGCTCCTGACTTTAGCTCCCGTTTTGTCTTCATGAATCCCCTTGTGATGTAAAGAGAGTCAAAGAAAGACCGCTATTTCCCGGACTAATGACCTAAATCGTCGAGCGCCAGCAAACAATACGTGCTCGCTCTGTGACGTTCCGGTGCGTGTGTTGGCAGGTGCAAAACGCGACGGGCGCCGCGAAGCGCGTGACGGTGCGCGTGTTCCTGGCGCCGCAGACAGACGAGCGCGGCATCCCGCTGCGCTTCGCAGACCACAGGAACTACTTCGTCGAGGTGGACAAGTTTGTGGCCACAGGTGAGACTCGCCAGGGAGCATCGAAGAAACAGGTCGGCCGCTTTCTGGAACACGTGGACAACCGGGAATAATCAGGAAATTTCATTGCCTGAAGAAGTGTTAGGGAATATAGGGGAGTTTGTATAAGAATCGTTAAAAGTCAGGGGAAATTCTGAAGTTATATAACTAAATATTATTCTTTAAAAATAGTCCAGCAAGAAATAGTGGCTCAAATTTATTGGGATTGATTGCAAAGTTTGTACTTATTGCGGTGAAGTCAGAGAGCTGAATAATTAGAATTAGGCTTCCTTTAGTACTGAATAAATACGTATAATACTTTTCTGGGAAAAAAGACTTGTTTCAGGATGTGAGTGGCCACCTTGAAAACAGTGTCCACAGAAAAGGTGCTTTAGCTAGACCCTTTTCCTTTCAACTAGTGATACTTACAGACACTTTGCTGAGATGATCATTCGATTTCAACTTCCTCTCATTCACCAAGTTAAATAAAATTACAATTTAAAAATTGCGTGATTCATGTATATTTTCGCACACTAAAAAATGTAACACGAAATAATTTTGTTTTTTGTCCATTCATTCTTTGGAGTTGTTAAGTAAAACGTATTCTACAAAATATTATCATCAATTTGACTTACGCTTTAATCAGAATAGGCATGCTCAGTCGCCACCAGGTCCCTATGCTGAAATCGGCGAAGGCATGCTTATTTGTAATCTGATCCTTATGCAGTAATCGGAATAGGCATTCTGAGTTACCAGATTCCTATGGTGTAATAGGTGGCGTAGGCATGCTTAGCCGTCACCAGATTCCTACGCTTTTAACGGAGTAGGCATCATCAGATCTGTACGCTTTAAGTGGAGTAAAAGTCGTCAGTAAATTTCTATGTTTTAATCGGGGTGTAGAGTTGATGCCTCGCCGGTGCTCTGCAGTGACTCCTCGCACATCGGATCTGAAGTTCAGGATAAAAAAAAAGTCGTAACGATTCCCCCAATTGGATAATTCGCCCCAGAGAGTGGAGTTAATCCGAGTGTGGAGTGTAACGCGTCGGCCGCGCTTCGCAGTGGCGCCCCATTTAAGTGGACGCTTTAAGTGGAGTAAAAGTCGTCAGCAAATCCCTATGTTTTAATCGGAGTGTAGAGTGACTCCTCGAACATCGGATCTGAAGTTCAGAATAAAAAAAAGTTGTAACGAGTCCCCCGATTGGATAATTCGCCCCAGAGAGTGGCGTTAATCCGAGTGTGGAGTGAAACCCGTCGGCCGTGCTTCGCAGTGGCGCCTGGCGCGTCGGAGCTGAAGCGGTCGTCGGCGCAGTCGTCCATCACCATCCCGTGGGAGCAGACGTTCCGCGACGTGGACACCAACCGCCCGCCCGACAACACGCCCGAGCAGCAGGACTTCAGCTTCTGCAGCTGCGGATGGCCGCAGCACATGCTGCTGCCGCGCGGCAACGCCGAGGGCCTGCCCTGCGTGCTCTTCGCCATGCTCACCGACTACGAGCTGGACAAGGTGCGTGCGCGGGGACACCCGATGGGGGACCAAGCGAAATCAAACCAAAGGGACTTTGAACATCAATGCATCAATAGACCGCAATCTGCTCGATTTTCTGCGCATGCGCAGATGCTCAAAAGTGATGCGCAACTCGAACTGCGCCTGCGCAGAAGTTCGATATTGCTGTCGATTGTGTTTAAAGAACGTTTTAACATTGAATATAGACCAAATAAAAGTAAACGTATGTGTGTACAGATGTCTCAGAATAAAGGTTTTCAAATGTCTAGAGCCTACAGAAAGGTCGAAAATGATAACTTTTTGGCAATGAACATAATCCTGAAAATTTCATATAACCCATTTAATATTTTCCCCTGCTTTTTAAGCAACTTTTCATGCAGAGAGCGGAAATGGTTGGTAGGTAACGGTCTGAGGCATTCAAGGACATTTCGTGTATCGACCAAATGTCTGTGTATACAGTTAATACGAGGTAAATGACAGAAGAAGAAATGCACATAGCACGGTTTTATGCAATTTCCCACGACATGTTCATTGGCTAAAAGTAACCATTTTTCTTGTACTATATGTTTGCTACATTTATTCTGAGACAGCTGTATATGTGTGTATGTTCCCTCAAAACTTTTAAACCATTTTAATGAACTGTAGTGATTCCCTCCAATTATACACGATTCCTTTTGAACGGTCTAAAATCCTAAGAGATAGGATTTGATTCAAAATGTGATGCTCATTAAAAAAAAGTTTAATGCAACCCGCATTGTATTTATTCAGTAAGCGATTTCGTTGTAGCGGTTCGCACAGGGAATGGTCAGAGCGCAGCCGGACAGGGCCTAGCATGGCAGGATGGGGCGGGACGAGTTTTTGTTGTTGGTGATGTAGTTGGTTATAGAGATGTTGAATTGAACAGGTGTCGACAGCGCCGATACAGGTCTCTTCAATCATATTTTTGATCACTGGCACCCTAAGGCATTCATCTCTACAGCCTGACTTACTTCAGAGCGCGAACGTATGGCGAGAAGTCTTCATTTTCAAATTAAATGCGACACTTTTTGCAGAGAACATCAGTGAGGGGGGTAACGGAGACACTAGGAATTATAGATTTCTCAGTGGTCTAGTTGTTGTCCTCTCCTCTTCACTTGGTTTTATAACGGTGGCGAGAATACCTCGCCGGCAAGGAGGAGGTCGATGTCACGGCCGAGGTTGAGATCGATATAGTATGGGACGGAATAACATACCAAGTAGATTGTGGCCGTGGACACACATACAGGTAAGCATCCGTCAACAAGAAATCGAGTGTTTTGCGTAGCGCAAATCACTATGTCGTAAAAAATGTTAATCCACCTTTGAACCACTTTTGAATGATGGCTCAAAAGCTAGGCAAGAAAGTACGTCGGAATAACATGCACGAGAAATTATGCGTTTGATAGACAAGTATGTTTCACGTTAATAACGTAGGCGAAAATCTGGATTGTTGGCATGAAACTGGAGAGATGAAGTAGAGCAGCAACTTGTCTTAAAAGTTTGAGAAAACGATCCTAATCTCGTGAGTCAACGACGTCGTTTGCCGTGTTCTCTCGGAAGTGAACCGATTCCTTCACGTTCGTAGCGATAAGGAAAAAGAGCCAAAACTAAGTAGTTTGTATGTCTTTAAAAGTACTGTCATTTGTTGTGATTTTCACAACGCTAGGAGGAGCAAACAGTCTTTGTTATCCATGTCTTTGAGTCGACCAATAAGATGGGGAATATCGCGGTGACTCCTAGCTGGAACGATGGAAATATTCGATACTAGTAGACCCGACAATATTTTGCTTATGCAGTGTATCACACATCACACGCTGCAGGTCATATGATTATTAATCACGTTTTACGCTACTCAGCAAAAATTGTAATAAATGACTTTCTCTCGAGTATGAATTTGTTCTGTCCTACTTCGGACATGGTTTTCAAGTATCCTATTGAAGAAGCGTTCTCTCTCAAGCTTGGACATGCATTCACTATGACTATGTCTTGGATGAATTAGAGTTACTTGTCCGAGATAAAGTTCAAGTAATAATTCCGGTCGATATTTCATAATCGCAGGAGCAGAATATGCAACGAAGACGCGCTTATGAGGGTGAGGCGAGTTGCGTAGAACTTCTATTCAGAGGCGCTTTAGAACACATACATCAACTACGCCCTCACTACTTTTGCGTCTGTGTGCGACAGAAATACGCATATTCCCACTATGCTATGCCTGTAACATTCGCGCAAGTGCAAGCAATAAGTTTTCAAAGTTTTATTGCAATGGGATGAACGGTACGACAGCACACAAAATGTGAATAAAAAAACAAACAAACATTGATGTTTATTTATTACACGATTTTATATTATATATTAGTATCGACCAGAACATCGGCCTAGATCTGGATGTATTCATGGTGCGAGGTTGTAGAGGTGCGACGATCCTCAGGAGACACGGTTACATGGAACTCTAGATGTTTGTTTTAAACCGATGCCATATCGACCCTCGCTGCAATGCATCCCGTACAGCCAAGCGTGTTCATTTTTTCGGACCTGCTGCAAACTGCTGCAGCTCTTAGATTTTTTCAACGCTTTTTAAAGCCCATTTATCTAAAATTGAGCGCGGCCACGAATTGGCTCAAAAGATGATCCGGTAACATGCACAAGTCAAAACAACTCGTGGTCTTTTTTTATAGGTAGATGATGAAAGTACTGCCATGAAGAGTAAGGAACCGACAAAAAGTGGTCGAAAAACTAAGGGCCGGGTTAGGTTCAGATCTACTTGTGAGGTGAGTTACTTTGTATATCAGCAGGTGAATAAATGTTTTTGGTTTTTTCAAGTTTAATCTCTCATGACGCATTTATTCTGCTCTTATGTTTCTTAATTTATGTGTTTTCATTTCCTTTATTTCACTGAAAAAGTGCGTTAAAAGTGGTCTTACCGAATTAAAAACGCACTTCAATTCAATGATTTCCACTTTTTCTAGCTTTTATCTCCAAATTTAAACTTCAGAAAAGTGGTTTAAAGTTTGTTTATTAACAAACATCCCGATTTCTTAATAAACAATTTTCACATCGTAAATTTTTAATTTTAAAATCTCTGAAAACACAATATAGTTTCATCACAATCTACATAGAACATCACATACGGCATATCTGAAACCCCCTATATTCTTTTATTAATATCACCAAACAACCTGGCATACCCTCCAAATATAGGTTACAATTACTCGAAACATTCAGCATTCGATGATTAGTGAACGAAATCTCGAATAGAGGGTTAAATTGCTTGATATTTGCTGATATAAAGAAAAAAAAAAGAGAACAAAAAAGAAAATAAGTGCTAGCGCTACTTGCAGTGTGTCGGTAATTTTGGCACGTAATTCATTACTTATTGACCTCTTAGATCTAGGCCTGTCCCGAATATCGCCATCTGTGCCCCCGTGGAAAGGGCGTCAAGTACAAAAAAATGTTCAAAATCTTTGCCCCCGAAATTGAAAAATTTAAAACAAGGAGGGAGAAAATGATTGAAGTATATGGATAAATACATGAATTATTAGTTCTCAATAATGAAACAATTTCGTTTTCTGTTGTATTTTGTACTGGGAGCCACTGTCGACACCCACACTCCATTAGTGTTCTCCGGCCCTCGGAATGGTATTGCTAAACAACTGTTAAGCATGGCACAATATATACGGAGATGAATATTTATTTAATGTGGTTGATCACGTATTCGATTGAATTATGATATGTATTAGAAGAAGAATAGAAACGAATGTTTCGTTAAACATACTAATGCACGTATAGTAATGTTGAGTAAACCCTGTTAAACGTGGAAGGGAATATTTTCTTTCTATCCCTTTAGTCAGGTAATTTACAAACTATTCCCCAGCGCTCATTCATCCAACGGCCCCGTAAACTCGAACTTCCTTAACCTCGGTAAGCTGTCAAACACTAACCCAGCAGAACGATTACGGACGCTGGCTGCGGACATTGGACCACCGATGGTCTTTTTACCGTTAGTTTGGACCACAGTATATAATTATTTAAAATTAATAAAATACTAAACACGCTGTTTATACAGCACTATATACAGAGTTGATTTCTCACACTTGACATGGGCTCTGTAACCTTTAGAATTGGTCGGATTTCTGAGAACACGCGCTTACAAGGCAGTGTTTAGTAGTGTGACGACATGGAACATAGATCTCGCTTATTAATTTATTTACCAAACAATTATTGTTCCACAGACAATTCTCTTTGTTTATTCACTTACGATTTTCAATTGTCTGATTTACTAAACGAAACAGTCATGTTTAGTGAATCTTATCACAAAATAAATGAATTTACAATACGATCGCTTACTAAATATGTTTAGTACATTGTACTACAACATTTCTCCCAGTGTATTCGTGCCCGCATAAGTGGCAAACATCAAAAACACCGGACCGTGAAAGGTGGCTCAGGGCATCAACTGATGTCACTGCAGTGCCTCTAAGGAGGAGGTTCGAGTCCCGAAGGTGGTAGAATTTTCGACACAAGCTTGTCAGTAAGGTCGAATTCAGTCTTTGTCTGGAGGAGAATTCGAGCGACCGACTGCTTTGATCGGTAGTTTCCCGAGATTCTCCATTTAACACCTGGCGAATGCCGGAGCAGTACCATAACAAATAGGCCAAAGAACGCGCCCGATCTTTCCTTCCCCTTCCTTGTCCTATCCCCCCCTTACTGACACGTCTTAACACTAACATGCACTACTCTTCACATGCCAGGAGACCGGTCGGGAGCTTAGAATTTGTCTCCGCTGCAGCGGTGCCCCGCTTGTGAAAAACGAAAACTGCTAACCGACGGTAGTTCGACGCCGGATATCGCCATCCAGCGGGAAAAGATCACCGCTACCTCCCATGAAAAAAACATGCGCTACATTTACAGAACTAATGACCATAGTAGTTGATGCGCCCGGAATCACTATCACTCCATCAACCAAGTCACCGGAATCACTAACAAACAATCAATTAACCAAAACACAGGAATCACTAACAATCAATGAACCAAAACCGGAATTACTTGCAAACAATTAACCAAAACCACGGAATCACTAACAATCAATAAACCAAAACCGGAATTACTAGCAAACAATTAATTAACCAAAACAACGGAATCACTAACAATCAATCAACCAAAACAACGGAATCACTAACAATCAATCAACCAAAACCGGAATTACTAGCAAACAATTAATTAACCAAAACAACGGAATCACTAAGAATCAATGAACCAAACCACCGGCGCGCAAAGTGTTGACGCGACGTCCCTGTGTTCTCCTGGCAGGTGGAAGGGTCGGAGTCGCAGGAGGGCGGGCGGTGCAAGGCGGCCGTGAGCTTCTGCGGCCTCCGCGACAAGCGCTTCCCGGACCGCCGCCCCATGGGCTTCCCCTTCGACCGGCTGCCGCGCAACGCCGACCACTACCTGCGCCAGTTCATGGCCGCCCTGGACAACATGCGCGCCGTCGACGTCACGGTGCAGTTCACGAACCGCGTGCTCCTGCGCCGGTTGGACGGCGCCGCCGAGGCCACGCCTGTCACCTCCTAAGGTCCTTGGAAGCTGCCTGCCAGGTTGGATGAGTCGTCTCAGATGTGTTGAAAAGATGGAAATGGAAAACTGGAGAACCGGATTTATTCGAATCCCGATTAAACCATTCTCATTTATATGAATCTCAATTATCCGAATCCTAATTATCCGAATCTCAATTATCCGAATCTCAATTATCCGAATTTTAATTATCCGATCCAAATATTTAACCGAATTCTAATAATTAATCGAATCCTAAAATTTAACCGTATCCTAATAACTTATCGAACCATAATAAATAACAGAATCCTAATAATTATGGTAGTACTAATAATTATGTTACATTTGTTCAATTTAATTTCATGAATTTTGAGTTTGACATTTTTTCTGATATATTTTTTCTTCTTTGAATTTGCGACATATTCGGATCATCCCAATCTCCAATTAATTCGAATAATTAGGGTTTACTGGAGGACCGAATCAACAACAGTTGAAAAGGTTTCGAATTATTGGAGTGGGCTTGAGTCGCCTTGAACTGACTGGAACCAATTCGTTTGCTTGGATGATCTAAACTAGTAGAGGGTTATCTCAAGATCCGTTACACGGTTTATGTACTATGCCTACTGGCACAGTGTTTTGAAATGTCAAAAATTGTAGCTAACATTGGATGAAAATTCGTATATTTATTGTAAACTATAGAATATCATCAAATCTTTTCAAATTTTTTACGTCATCCCAGTTTGGGATGCATAAGTTATTTATGTACTGAGCTTAGAACGTTTTAGGATTAGTAAAATATAGACAAAAATTGCGAGGATGACTCTAACTGTTCAAGTCAGCTGGTGTTGGCTCGAGACTATTAGTGTAGAATCAATGCAAAAGCATTTTCATTCATTCGAAATGTGTGTGCTTGAAACTCAAAACGATTCATACATTTAGATGTTATTACCCACTTAAACTTACTTCACAAACAAAGTAGTCCTTTCAACATTAAAATAGTGAATTGTTAAATGATTCTCATGAGGCATTGCAGATGCATATTGTCAATGATGTGTTATTAAAGTACTGAATCTTAACATCCCGACTGAAACCTTTATTATTGTTAATTTAACGAACATTATATGTTAACGTAAACGGGTTTATCTTGTTTAACTTAAATTTTATTATCGATAGAGTAAGAATATTTACTAGTTTAAATGCTTTTGTTAGAGGCAGGTGAGTTAATTAGTTGTTAGCACTACCCAATAAATTTAGTGTACGATTTTTAAATATACTACTTAAGAATTTGTGCTCATTTTGACGTTCTTTACCAACTAAGGTGTAACAAAACTAATGTGCTGTAAATTAAAATTTGTAAAACACTAAAGCACAATTCATTAACATGTCTGTAACTTACTGTAAAAACTTCCAACATATTGAGGAACATTCATTGAATTTAAAATCCCTGAATGTGTGAAATACTTCGTAAGTAGACTTTATTGTATATATTCATTTAATTTCAATAAACTACACATATGGCATTTATTTTTCTTTGTAATTATTTTTAAACCCCAAAAGGTAAAGTCTGGTTGTCTTTTAATGTTAGATTCGCATGCAACGCTAGATTCGCATCCAAAACGATGAAGAGAGCAATTACAGAAGTAGAAGTGAGCTTGTGATGTTACAATTAGACTGAGTTTGTGATGTTTTAATTTCTTCAAAAATTATGGTGTTAAAATATGGAAGTGTTAAGGGAATCTGGGGAAGAATCAAATGTAAGAAAACATTGCGACAGAATTTTCTGGACTAATTGGGAATGATATGCATTTTTAAATTCAGAATTCGTGCATATTAGCAAAATAGTGAAACAATGTAGCTGTATTACTCGCCAACTTTTCTTCTACGATGACCGTGCCTCCCCTTCTCTGGTACAATAAACAGTTGAATGCAAACGCTCGCAGCACGTACTGATGACAACATCCCAAACACATATTCACTGGAAATGACCGAAGGTGATGAATATCCATCACTGGGTATACCTCGAACTCCTGAGAAAATTAGAGCGCAAATTATTGAGAAAGTTGCCAAGGCATAACTGATTCTCCCTCCTGAGATTGGCATTGTTTCATAAAATCTAGTGGCCGATTTCATAACTAATACCCCCACTCTACCCCATTTCTTCATTTCATCGTTCCAGATAGTAAAATAATATATTTGAAGGAAGTTGAGAATGAAAGAAATTTTCAACTCATGATATTGTTTTTAAAACAGTTTAAAGCGTCAGTGACGTCACATTTTACTATTAGTAATTCAGTAGTAATAACATAATTGAATCAAACAATATTCATGGAAAATATTTTGTCGTTGTGTACAATCTACCTTTATTACATCAGTCCATAGAACTTTTAATTTCAATAAAATCAATAAGATTATTGGAATGGTATTGATGGAATGAGTATGTAGATTTTATTATTTATTCTTATAATATGGTAGGGGCAAAGCAGATAATACACATGTCTCATTACAGTAAACAAGTAAAGCGATATAATACACAATCTAACTGTGTGAAAATAGTATTGAATTATTCAGTTAATCTCAATTACGAAGCACTCCATTCATTCAATTTCAATATCCTATTTATTCTTAATTTTTTATAAATATTCCCAGAGGAAAGACAACAGAGGAAATTTCGTGTGGTAAGTGGAAGGTACAAGGTTTAGAAAATAAGTAGTAATATATTTTTCAGATGGATTAAATAATTTCAATCAATATATCATAGTTATGTACTAAATCAGATTATATTTCAAATAATTATTTAGTTATGTTCATGCAAATCAGTCATAATAGAAAACTCGTGTTCATGTTCAGATTCATAGATATACTGCCATTAGTTGCCTCAGAAGAACCATACGTAGTGATTTGTGTAAATGAGCTGAATAAAACACGCCCAATTCAGATCTTATAACCTAGTGTATTTATTTAATACCCAATAATACGTACGTAAAAATTGTACAATAACTGAAACAGAAAAATGTATATGAAATATAAATTATGTTCGTAGTTGTATTATGTTCGTAGTCAAAACAATTGACCTAACAGATTGTGTCTATATAATTAAAACAGAAAGAAAGAATGAAAGAAACTATCTTATGATAGCATAAATGAAAACATTCAGTTTTATGAAGAACAAAATAAAACTATTAGTCATGCAGATTGTGTTATAAGGTTGTAATGTTAAACATGTATAGTCATCTGTTGTCAGAATATTTAATGCGTAAATAATTCTTTTAAGTGGCCCTTATAAATATAAAAACGAACATTAATATACGTGACATCAAGATTCATCAAGCCGAAAGCAACGAGAAACTTTCTTGGACATTCCTTTCCAGGCAATCCGTTCCCTCTAGCACTATGGCAGAAGTGACTACTTCTGTCTAAGTTGTTTTCTCGTTCTTCAGACTTTTCTCTCCCTGGACTTCGTGTGCCGAGATTTCAATCCGACGTCCTGTTGGTCTTGAAGTATCAGGGATTTCTCGATGCTTTTGATTAAGTCTTTGATGAAAAGACTTCGATTGGTTTGATTTTTAGTTTCATTGTCCAAGGAATGCAAATCTTGAACTGCATAGGACTTTGGAAGACATCCATACTTTCGAACTCCTTGTATGTCTATGCTTTCCTAGTTTTTAGTTGGAATGGATTCCTTCACGTTTGTTTCATTCAATGATATGTGTTTATTGAAGTCATCCGATGCGACTTTGACGTCATTGAATGAATATTCTTGCAGATTTTTTTCTGTTTTTGTAACATTTTTGCCAATTTTTTCCTTTATCAACAGCTGACAGGTGCTATACACATTTTGTAATTTGATTAACGATCAGTGTTTAATTTATAAACCAAATTTATTAATTGAACAATAATAAAAAATGGGTTGAGTTTTACATTCATTATTATTAAATTGAAATTTTGGAAGCAATGATTTCTTGAGGGGAGAACGATAATACAACTTCCATATGTTAATTCCATTTGAAATTCCGCTTAGACGATAAGCGGGTTCTATTTTACATATTTCATCAATCTGGCAAAGTAAATCCATCTTCCAGTCAAATTTAAATTTATGTGTAATAAACAACTGATGTAAGTGATAGGTATTCATGTTTTCAACTTCTTTCACAAAGGATATCATGATTTACTTGATGAGAAATGTTTGCGGATGAAAAATGCGGGAGAAAAATGCTCGTGTGACTCAGCAACGTCGCGACCTGGTGGCATGAACCTTAATCCGCTTGCTGGCAATGAGACGAGGCTTGACATCCTCAACCACCCGCGGTTCTTGGCTTACTTTCCACAGAATGGCCTCGTGTCGTTTCTGCGGTAACGCCTCTTCTGATGACAATGGCGGCAGTGTGTTCTATGATCAATTGTTTGAATGCAAGGGTTCATTATTTAGATGGCCACAAAAGTACAATATTTACATGTTATGATATTGCTTGTACACATTTTCATATTCAGTGATATTATAGAATACGTAGTAATCGTCAAGCAGTTGATTACCCATCATTTCCATTAACTATCGTTTATTATTTTCAAGAGGAAACAAATATCATTCGTTTTCGGATTAAAACATGAATCAAACATTAAATTTCTAACCTTATATTTGTTTCATAATAAATAATAAAGACTTCTCTCTCTACGATGGTGACTACAGAACCCCTCGTATATCACTTTATAGAAGATAAAGGAGTAACTCACTGTTGAACTGATCTACTTTTGCAGAGGAATGCACAGTTCAAAACCTCCTCTGTGGAAGGGGACGCAACTGTCGTTCCCCCTCACCCCCTCGCAAAGGAGGCGTGAGAGAAGTTGCCACCACTCCTTGATTTAAACGAGGGCTAATCAAATGAAAGGATTTGGACGAGACTGCCAACAGCGGCCTGCGAGAATTGCTCACGTGCCATCACCCTATATCTTTTTATTTAATTAGTTGTTTGTTTACGCCACAAACAGCTGGAAACTGTGTGTGACGTGCTATGGGGAGAAGTTACTTTGAAGTTAAATTTATGTTCAGAAGCAAAACAAGGGGCCATCTCAGCATTTGCTCGAGGATCAGAGAAACTGGACGAAAACCTGATCGAGATGGGGGTCATTGATCCAGAAGCTGAAGTACTATACTTGTTATAGGTTCTTTACAATTATACAATCCAAATGATATAAAATACATTGAATGTCATTGTTAAAATTAATATTACTTTCCTTTCGGATGTTCGGTATAGTTTCTAATTGTATACACACAGTTGTGCAGCAGAAAAGATTTTACTTGGGACTTCAACATTTGGATCGAATTTAATCGTTTAATTTTTAAACTTCACATCATCATTGGCCGAGCGCTCCTCTCCCGCCCCGGCGGGCTTACTCGACACGCGACAGGCCACAGTTAAGCTCTGTATCAGGCCCGTCAAGGATCTATTTGAGCGCTCTGATCTATTGTTCGATTTAAATGTGATGACTCCCGAATAGAGATGGAAAAAATATTTACATGTTTTTAAAACATCGATATTTTCGAGCAGCAACATCAATATATTAACATCGATGTTTTCTTCCTATCGATATAGTTGTCATTTGTTCAAAAACATCGTTGTAGAAAAAAAATCTCACGATACAAATAAAATGTCCAGTACCTATTTTTTAGTGGATTGCTTTCAATCATCAGACAGCGACAACTATCGTGCTGTTAAACGTCATGAAACCGTTCGCTGCTCGCGACCTTTCTCAAATGTTATCACTTTTTTATATTAATTTGTACAGGGTAATATCGTTAAAATGTACTTTGAATCTTGACCATTGATTAGAAAATTAAGATGAGTGAAATTTAAGGCAGAATATACTTGAAACTAATATTGACGTGTTATATACCACATTAAAACAATATTTTGCTTTGATGGTTTATTAATTAAAGTGAATAAATGGGAAAATAGCAAAACACAATTTTCTGTATTTTATATTTCCTTCTTTTCATTTGATAAACTTTCTTAACACATTTCTTAGTGACCCAACAATAAAATATCTCATTTAATAAATATGTATATTTAAAGGACGATGGGAAAACACCATCTGTTTCATGATATACAAAACATCGAAAACATTCGTTTAACATCAATGTTTGGCGATGTTTTCATCGACAACGAAAACCTTTTGGTGTTTTATCGAAGTATCGATGGTTTGCTTAAATTCGCCATCACTACTCTTGAAGGTAGGGAGCTAGGAGGAGAGAGGGGCACTGTCATCCAATCGGGAGCTTCGATTTCCTAAATTTAAGTCATAACGAAGTTCTTGATTGGATAACGAGTCACAGCCGATATCTACCAAAAGTCTGAATATTTAAATCGGACAGCAAACAACACGAAGCCCCCCGCAGACACGGGGCCCCCTGCGGACGAAACTTCGTCGAGTCGGTTTGTTAACATCAAATCATTGCCTATTGAGCCCTACAAAATTTGTAGACATGCAGATTTAATCCGTTCCCATAATCTAATTGCACGAAACGTCGC